TTGCAAAAGAAATCCTGCTCAGTACGAGAGGAACCGCAGGTTCGGACAAATGGTACATGTGCCTGCTCGACCGAGCAATGGCACGACGCTATCGTCCGAGGGATTATGACTGAACGCCTCTAAGTCAGAATCCCGTCATTATACGGTAACGATACCGTTAAGTACTCAGTGTGGCCATAGGTAAAACTATGTTGGTGTAACCAATATTTACCATACCCTTTAATGGAGAGAAAGCATTCAGGTTTGGGTTGATAATAACATCAAACCGGCTATTCCGACCATAAATTCAAAACGAATTTATGTTGGTCTGCCTGAGTATAAAATGATCCGTAGACGACCCAAGAGCCTGCCAGGGTGCTGTACTTAGTAGAGTAGTTATCATACTGCGATCTATTGAGGCTCAGCCTTTGACAGGAAGGTTTGTTCACTATGTTGAACAATCTTCCATGAACAAATTAAAACATGTTCAATGTATTAATTTACATTGAACATGTTTTTATTTTTTCAAATTTTTCATTTTGCATACCCCTGGAAAAATTCGGACTTTAACTTTTTACATAGACTTACATGTTAAATTTTTTCAGATTTTTTACGTGGTAAATAATGGTAGCTAAGCATAAGTTAGCTACTAAAAGTCACTTTTATTGCTGACTTAAGCTTTTACAATCAAAAAAAATTTTTGCATACCCCTGGAAAAATTTGGACTTTAACTTTTTCCATGTTAAATTTTTTACATGATTTATATGGTTCAAAATGCGAAAAAGTGCTGTTTTTGTGATTTTAGCGAGGTTTTTAGCTTTTAGCAGGTTTTAGTTAGTTAGTCTTGTTTTGATTTAAAACTGAAAAATTTTTTGCATACCCCTGGAAAAAACCGAACTTTAACTTTTTCCATTGACTTACATGTTAAATTTTTTTGCATACCCCTGGAAAAAACCGAACTTTAACTTTTTCCATTGACTTACATGTTAAATTTTTTTGCATACCCCTGGAAAAATCCGAACTTTAACTTTTTCCATTGAATTACATGTTAAATGGTGTAAAATGGAAAAAAGTGCTGTTTTGGTGATTTTAGCGAGGTTTTAGTTAGTTAGTCTTGTTTTGATTTAAAACTGAAAAATTTTTGCATACCCCTGGAAAAAACCGAACTTTAACTTTTTCCATTGACTTACATGTTAAATTTTTGCATACCCCTGGATTTTCGATGATGACTCATTATAACGGAAGAACGAGGTCGATTCACGGTACCAAATCTTTTGGACATTATCAGCATTAGGTCAACTAATGATTGCGTAATTTTGATCGAGTTCGTGCTGTTGGTACCAGAGGAAATCGCCTTTAATGGTTGAGCCCATAAAAGCAATGAGAATGTTCGAATTGGCGCGATTTTAGGCCACTTGCGTTTAGTAATTTAGGTCATTAATAAGCGCATGCGATAGTCGGCACTACTGGGATATTACCCCGAAAAACATGATCGCGATTGACTTTATTGAAGAACTCTCATTGAGTTGTTAACTTGTTTAAGCATCTATTTCATCTCTAAATACAATCATCGATCACAACCAGATTTATTGTGTTATATGTGGTGAGTGTAGTTGCTGAATTGAGAGAAGCAACCATCAGTAGTTGATGGGGAGGTAAGTGATTGTCTACGGTTATGGATAAGTCAATGCATCAAGCAGTGGTATGGTCCAGACTGTAGCTGTTCACGCATCTATTCCTGTTATTCTGTTGATGTTTGGTGGTTGAAGAGACGGGCCTGAATGGGTTTGGATCGTCAATCATCTTATCACCACACACTATTATACAAAGGTAGAGTACCTGCAAGACCTAAGGTCTTCCTTGGTACGACTGACAATATCTATGAGAGTTGGGCTTTAATGCTATCAGACTTCATATCTTGCATATATGTTCAAACTAGTCACTCAACAGAGTGAGCAGTATTAGTATTGAGCTCTGCTTGTGCAAAGCAGACCGCAGATTGATCCAAGAAATTGGTATCAAGCGGTTATAATACTATGCTGTTTAGTTGAATTGCAAACGTACCCAGCAATGGTTACTCCTGCTAGATGTGCTTGCACATTTTAGTGGAAGAAGATGGATTCTAAAGAGCTTTCTGCAGAATTATCTTAATGCACGACATAAATCTCGATACCTCGTTAAAGTTAGCATCCACTTGCTGGTTGTTAGCTGAGGATATCGTATTTATAGCTGCAAAACAACTTGTTTAGCATTTTACTTTGCTAAAACATCAAGTTACCTGGTTGATCCTGCCAGTAGTCATATGCTTGTCTCAAAGATTAAGCCATGCATGTCTAAGTACATACTGTTTATAAAGTGAAACCGCGAATGGCTCATTAAATCAGTTACGGTTCCTCGGATATTCTTTTTTACATGGATAACTGTGGTAATTCTAGAGCTAATACATGAACAAGTGTTCCAACCTCAGCTTGCTGACGGAAGGATCGCATTTATTAGTACAAGACCAATGATTCTTATTCACCTAGAACCCTGTTCAGTGATTTCGGTCGCTGTCTAAGGACTAGCAGTGGGGATCTTAGCAACTTCGGTTGCATTTCTTGTGATGACTCTGAATAACTGAGCAAATCGTATGGCCTCTGAGCCGACGATGTATCCCTCAAGCAACTGCCTTATCAACTGTCGATGGTAGGTTATGCGCCTACCATGGTTGTAACGGGTAACGGGGAATTAGGGTTCGATTCCGTTATCAAAGTTATTTAATTGTTTATAAGAATAGTTTGCTTGAGATTCCCAAGGGACACTCGCATCACTCGTTGGTACGGCAAAGTGAGCCCTTGGGGTGAGATCTCGGTTACAAGAGTGGGGGGAGCTTGGGGAACTCCTCCATAGTTATAACCCGTTCGACAGGGTTCGTCGAAGGGTTGTACATGTTCATGATAATGAGTAAAGGATCTATTGGTGACTTACAATGTATGGCTTAATGAGTTGACAAATGACAAAAGCGGGATTGACTAATATCCTATCTGAGGGTTGGTGCTCGGATAGGATTTACATACGGTAGTGCGAAAATGATTGAAGTATGATCATTTTGTTGTTGCTAGAAGTCCTTAGCATTAACAACATAAAAAGGGCAAACAAAATTTGATGTTTACAGTGATTCGTTACTGCTACGTCAGATGTGCTGGCAAGGTTAAGCACGAGCGTCTCTTTGAGATTGCTTATGTAAGGTCAGACAAGTCGATAACACCGATTTTTGAATGGACACCGCTTGCGACTCATTCATATCGAAATACATGTAGCAATAGTGAACACCGCTTGCGACTCCTATTGTTGTACACACCGCCCTAAACCCTAGATGGGAAAATTTCGTCCAACGTAACTTAGTTTTGTGGAACTCCGTGAGGAGCGTTAAAATAATACATATAAGCCTACTATTTCCGGCCGGAAGCGGCTGTGTTGAGTTATGTGTTCCCGAAAGGGGGCCTATAGCATATAATCTCAATACAGTTCGTGGATGGTGTCTGTGGAATGGGTTTCTGGCGGTGGCATAGGCCCCGCCGTCAGATGAACGCTTATATGTATTAGGGACAAGAAGGGGAAATTATCGTGCCCCTTGCACTCATTACCTTGCCCTTGAGTGCGAGTTGCTTTGCAGAGTCGGCAGCTAAAGACCAAGAGTTCGTAACTCTTGCGTTTAACAATTTGGTGATTTGATGGTGACGTCAAATTGCAGATGATTGTTACGCAGTCACTGATTCATTGATGATTGTTAGATTGAGAGAACTAACATGATTCTTAAGATGATGAAAGTGATAAATCTTGTAAGACTAAGACTAAGACTTCAAGATGATGCCAGTTCATGATTCGCAAGAATCAGTAATGAAATGGTTACTGGGGCGGTATCTGTTTTTGATTTATCAAAATCTGAATATTTCCAAGCTTTCCTCAGGGAAAGTGGTGGTGGTGCAGGCCCTACATGGGAGACACTGAGTCATGATCAATGTTAGTCAGGTGAGAGAGACTAATATGATGCATAAATGATGAAAGTGATGAGTCCAAGATGAAAATTCTTGAGACAAACCCGTGACTTGACTCGCCATGTCAAGTCATGATTCGTAAGAGTCAGTGGTGAAATGGTGTACTGGGGCAGTAACTGTTTTTGACTTCGTGTCAAAATCTGAATTTTAACAGGCTTTTCATCTTTGATGAAAGGTGGCTGTGGTGCATGTCCTACTGTTTACTCCGGTGAATAGTTGAACCGTCAACTGCCTTTGCAGTGAGATCCCTTTAGATCATGATGTTCGTCCGCATCAAAACCAAAAGATGAGGGAAACCGCGAATGTATGAAACAAGAGCTGGAGTGACAAGCTGAACACTTGGAAAAATGTTCAAACGATCTAATAGGGGTCCCCTCGCCGCAAGGTGAGGGGACCCCTATTTCACGTTAGGCAAAATTGTTGTCGAAATCGCGAAGAACCATGATGAGCACATGTAAAAATGCTCGTGAGATCAAAGGGGTCCCCTCACTGTAAGGTGGGGGGATCCCTTTTTCACTTTAGAGCAATGACGTGGTGAAAATCATGATACCCGTAAAGTCACGGTGTAGCAAGTTATTGCAAAGCAGGCGGTGGCTGTTGATGCAGTTGGCGTTGTTCCTGGTGGTGTCTTTTACGTATTGCCATTATTTGGCGTAGATACGAGAAAAGTGCTTGTGGAGCGGTTGTCAGCAGTGTTAACAGGTCAGCGGGCGGGTCGTCTGGCAGAAGAGCAGTGTAAAGCTCTGTACGAGGGATAATATAGAGCGGGCAGCTGTTAACGACATGGTTGACAGACTCAGTGACGTTACACTCAAAACACAGGTCTGTTACTGATAAGTTAAAACGGCGAAGATATGCCCTGAAATCTCCATGACCGGAGAAGAACTGGGTGCTATCATGGTTAAAGGGTAAGTGCAAAAATTTCATTCGTTCGCTTATTGAGGGAAAGTACGTAAACGTATGTCTTCCTGTTATGCTCTCATTCCAGTGTTGCTGCCAGTTATAGAGGAGAATCGCTCGTATCTCCCGTTTGTAATTGTCCGTGAATTGACCGTTCAATAGTAATGGTTTGTGCAGAAATGGATGCACTTCTGGCGGTCGGGATATGAAGTAATGTGCTGCCAATTGCTGAATACGATATTTGAGAGGCATAGTACCCGCTAATACTTGCACTGCTTCATGTGATATCGTCCGGTAAGCTCTTGTGATAGCAATATTTGCATACCTTTGTGCTTGTCTTAATTTAAATGAGTTCTTTTCATTCTCAGCCTGTTTATGCCATACTGCTGACCCATAAGTTATGGCGGGCTCAATAGCAGCGTTCCAGTAGAGGCGCAGGGTTTTTTGTGGAGGCCCAAAGTTATTGCCTGATATTCGTGAGAAGCCGAAGATTGCCTTCTTGGCTTTGTTGGTGACATGCGTAATATGCTCGTAAAAATGAAGATATCGGTCGATTATGATTCCAAGATATTTTATGCTATCGGAATATTGTAATGGATGATTATTGAAGCGAATGACGGGTCGGACTGCCAGTTCCGAACCACGGCCAATCATCATTGTCTGCGTTTTTGATGCATTAAAAGTAAGTGATAACTTATATGCAACTTCTTGGAGTGACTTTAACATTTTTTCTGCTCTTGTACAGGCAACCTCAGGGCTAGCACCACAAGCGATAACGAGTGTATCATCCGCATATGCTTGTAAGAAGACGTGATCCGGTCTAGGTAAGTTTAAAAGCTCATCTTGGACTAAGTTCCAATGATAGGGCCCAGTTGGGCTGCCTTGCATTGCGCCTTGCTTTACTGTTCGTGTAATCAAGCAGTTTTCTGTCTGGGCTCGAGCTTCTCTATTACTTAGATACGATTGTGTCATTCTGTATAAGTTCTGCGGTGACTCTCGTTGTTTCAGGAGATCTAGGATAATGGGCCACTTAACATTATCAAAAGCTCCAGATATATCGAGCGATATCAAAAGTACGGACCAGCCGCGTTGTCGGTATTGTTGAACAGTATTAAGGGCATTCAATACGGCATCAGTTGTAGATTTGCCTGATACAAAGCCATATTGATTGATGTTAAACGGCGAAGATGATATACTAAGATGATTCAAAATGCGACTTATCAAAAGTTTATCCAAAACTTTCCCTATGGTGGGAAGCAGGCATATGGGGCGGTATGCCTTGTGTGACTCAATGAGTTCACCTCCAGGCTTGGGGATGAAGACGACACATGCAATTTTGAATTTTGCGGGGAAACAACCGTAAAGGAGACATTTGTTAAAAAGCTCGGTATATGATGGTAGCAATACCTCCGACAACTTTCTAAGTATTATGGCTGTGACACCGTCATAACCAGGGGCTTTTTTGGTCTTCATAGACTGAATTACATGCTCAACTTCGTCTGTGGTGAAATGGCGATCATCACGTGTAAATGGCGTGTTAAGAGATGAAAAGCGAACTTCTCTTAAATATGGCGAGTCAGTGGATGGGTCATCATCAGGAAAATAGTTATCTAACAGATACGAATAAGTATCGGCCTCGTTTCGGGTGTACGTCCCATCTGTTTTGCGAAGCGGCTTTAGTGGGGTTTTTATTCTCTTGTGGGAGTTGAAAATCCTCCAGACTTTGTCCCAAGGATCGTCTGATGATTGAGAACATAAGTCCTCAAACCATTTCGACTTTGCCTTGAGAAGCACGGTCTTATAATGCGAAAGATGGTGTTTGTATGTGATATATTGGTCCGAATCATGAGACCGAGAACGGTTGGCTAACCGTCTCAATCGTTTGAGTTCTTTGCGTTGCTCAGTTAATTCAGGAGTCCACCAGGGTTTCGATCCTGCAAACACTCGTTTGCGCGGGATACATGAGTCAAGGATCTCACATATGCTTATCGAGTAGTTGTCTGTGATAGCTTCGATGTCTGATGAACATGAAGATGAGGCAATTGCTGAGTCAAAGTGGAGTTTAAAAGCTAAGACTTTTTCCTCCAAAAGAGCCCAGTTCGCACGTTTTGTGTTGTATATTGGTGGTGCATTACTAATGTTTGATGCTGCTGCTGAAGACCCAAAAGAGGTGATAATAATTTGATGATCGCTAAGTGAATGATCGCTAAATACGGACCAGCCGGTGATGGCATTGATAATGTTGTGACTTGTTAATGTGATATCAATGAAAGATGAGCCTCGATCTGTTAAGAATGTTGGTGTTATGCCATCATTTAACAGCGAAAGATGGTGAGATGAAATAAACTCGCAAATGTTAGTACCATTTCTATCTTCAGTGGAAGAGCCCCAGGCTGGTGAATATGCATTGCAATCCATTCCGATGATAAGTTTGTGGTCATGTAATGTGATTATGACTTGGCGTAATTTCTCAATGAACGCAGTGTTGGGCCTATTGGATCTAGGCTTAACCGGATGGTATTGTGATACGAAAGTGACAGGTCCAGATGGGTACGTGATAGTGGCTACCGTGGTATATGGATCGGATAGTTGGTGATGAAAAAAGACCGAAAGCGAGGGATTGGCGACCCCTATGATCGCTTTTGGACTTGTATTTCCATGTAATGTTGGATAGAAAAGGCGAAAAGAACCTATTGGTCTAGGTGTATTTTTACGGCAAGGTGGTTCCTGCAACAACAGCACATCCCATTTACGATCAACTGCCAGTGCTGACAATTGGGCGATACAAGACAAGCTGTTATTGCAGTTGAGTTGGGCGATATGATGATTATTAAGCGGACTAGAATCCATAATCTGTGGTGTTAAATATCGACTCTTTATAACGTCTAAGTTCTGGACAATCATTGGCATGTGCTGGGTGTTTTGCGTCTACCTGTCGGGCCCCAGGTAAGCTGTTATGTTTGGAGCAGTTTGTGCACTTGGCCATGTTCTTGTCGTTTTTGCTTGGACATGTCTTAAAATCATGACCTTCAACAGCGCAGTGAGAACAGATACTATTTTGGCTTGGGCATTTCTCGGTTCTGTGACCAAGACCTTGACAACGGAAGCAGCGGGTGATCAAAATGTAGTCCCTGATTGGCAGGACTTGCCATTTGGTGTAGAGTGGAGCAGACAGCATAATTGTTCGTAAAGTTGGCGGGACTTCTACAACTACCGACTTATTTCCTGTTCGATCTGCGCGTGGGTGGAAAATGACTTTACATTTCGACTTAAAGTCATCAAGTTCGACTTTGGTGTTTATGTGGCTGTTTTGTTGGTGGATTTCGTTCAAGAGGTCGGTATCAGTTGGGATCATAGGCGATATGTCGGAGATTAGCAGTCGTGGAGATCGTTTTTTGGGGTCGCGAATGGTATATTTGGTGGCTACGTTGGAGGATAAGAGACGCTCTTTGAGTGCCTCTTTATCAGTGGAGGATCCTGTTACAACTAAGAGGTTGCCATTCTTAGTTTTCCTGACTCTGTTGACTCTAGTGAAGCCAACATCTAGACTATCATCGACTAAGTCAACAACATTCGCGGTCGTGTTTTCTCGTGGAGCGAGTATAAGTGGTGCTTCTTGCTGCTGGGGCGGTGCAGACTTAGGTTTCGCTTTGGAAGCAATCTGAGCAAAAGTCGGTGGTTTCTGCTGTTTTGGTGGTCGTGGAGTTGGTTCAATAGGCTGGTGGTTACATGAATTCTTGCTGAGCAAGTCTTCAAAACGTGCAGTTAATTTGGCTTCTAATCTGTGTTCAATAGCTTCAATGGTCTCCTTGGTCATCGCAGAGAAGTCGTTGTACCAGGCAAGCTCGGCGGTAACGGTCTCATATCCTTCCTTGTACTTGGTCAGTTTCGTGTGGAGATCCTTGCAGAGAAAGTACAGCTCGGTGTATTGCGACTTGTTTGGTTTAAAGGTTGGAGTGGCGAGGTTAGTTTCGGCTTCCTGGAGTTTCGAGAGCGGGCTTTTGGGTACGGACATGGTGGCGTTGGATTGGCTAGCGTTCTTTTGCTGTCTTAAGCCAATTGGAGATCGTGGCTGGTTTCTAGTGGGTGATTGTGGGGGAGTCATGTTTGACTTTCCCTATTTTCTTGATGTTGCAAGAAGAGGGGAAAACAATTGGTTTCCTTTAAAGGATCTCTGATTGGTCAGAGTAAAAGGGGAAAGATGTATATTTTCCCCTTTTAGTTGATAGCCGGAAACGGCCGAAAAAGGTGGCGCTCTCAACTGGTTGTCAAGGGGCAGGGCCTGGATGGCTTGACACTTGCGCAGACAAGTCGGGAGCAGAAGACAGTGGTGATATCTGGTGGTGGGAGCAGCAGATGAAGATGGTAAGTGATGAAATCTCAATATTTTAAGAAAAAGTTTCTAACAGAAACGGAAATGGGGGATGAAAAAGCAGAAAAAAGGGGCAGAGTTTCCTCTAAAATGACGTAATTCTAGAGCAATGACGCAATTTAACTGAAAAACTTAGAGAAAATTTGGAAAAAGTGATGAAATCACAAGAGATGTTCACTCATCAGAGTCCAAACTATGAGGGTTCGATTCCGGAGAGGGAGCCTGAGAAACGGCTACCACATCTAAGGAAGGCAGCAGGCGCGCAAATTACACAATCCCAGTACGGGGATGTAGTGACGAAAAATAACAATACGGGACTCTATTGAGGCCCCGTAATTGGAATGAGTACAATTTAAATCCTTTAACGAGGATCTATTGGAGGGCAAGTCTGGTGCCAGCAGCCGCGGTAATTCCAGCTCCAATAGCGTATATTAAAGTTGCTGCGGTTAAAAAGCTCGTAGTTGGATTTCAGTCGAACCTATGGGGTCCACTGATTAAAGGGTTAGATGGTGATGTTAGGTTTCTTGCTTGTGTCTACGGATGCTTGCTTGAACCTTCATTCCTCTTTCCTGGTGGTTACATTCATAGTGTTTAGACAGAAAATTGCTCGATATTTGCTATCAATGCTCTTTACCGAGTGTTGATTCAAGCGATCGAGACTTTTACCTTGAAAAAATCAGAGTGCTCAAAGCAGGCGTCCAAAACCTCGAAAGAGGTGCCTAAAAACGGTATGGTCAACCATCTATATGATGCGTACCACTACCTTAACTTGAATGATCTTGCATGGAATAATGGAATAGGACCTTGGTTCTATTTTGTTGGTCTTAAGAATCCAAGGTAATGATTAAGAGGGACAGACGGGGGCATTTGTATTGCGGCGCTAGAGGTGAAATTCTTGGACCGTCGCAAGACAAACTACCGGGCGTTTTTTTTTCATTTTACGCCTTCATGCAGGCATAACTCACGAACTGTTAGTGCTACAGACTTCAGACTTGAACCATAAGCTTAACTAGATTGCACAACGATAAGTTCAAGAGCTCAAGGTTATTCAAGGTCAATTCTTTATTTGACCTCTAATTGACATTGAAAGGTCT